GGGACACCTAGATCCCTTTCAGGGATCACTGTATACCCATTTACCCCCTAATTCAGCTCTCCAACAGATTAGATCTCCCTGAGGGGAAGGGCAAGGGGATGGACCTATTCTTAGCCCTGTACATGATTCCTGGAAAACAAATGTGCTTATTACAAGGTGATGATAGACAGAGAGGAATCTGCAGCCAAGGAAGGAGTGTGTATGTTTGTTTGTGGGTGAAGGGGTAAGAAGTGCCAACAGTCCAGAGAACTCATGGGAACTCTTGGGGAAGACTTATGCCTTTTCATCAAAAGCAAGGAGAAGGATATGTTGGCCTCCATCACCAACCTGATGCCACATCAAATATATTATTATGTTATTAGGTAGCCTATGGCGTACCTAGGCTACACACACAGACACACACACACACACTGAATCCTACTTTATCAGAGATGCTGCCACCTCTACAGAGCCAGAAAGAGATGAAGCTAGGAAAAGAGTGTGTCTAGCTAGGTTTGGGTGCAATCCCTGGCCCTCTTGCCCTCCTCGAGGCCCCTTCCAATGCCCTAACTTCCTGTCTGGGATTGGTAATCCTTCCTAAGAGAGGACTAGAAATGGCAGGCAAACATGTGCGGGTGGGAGGGAACGCCTGGCTCATCCTCAGTGCCTGACAGCCCTAATCGGATGTGTATTGAGAATCCTGGTGCTCCAGGTCCCTCTCTGATGGGCTCCAGATGTGCTTACATCTGGGAAGGCCATCCCAGGAAACTGATGCTCCCGCCAGCTCCCACCCCGGATGGATCTCTCCTCCAGCTTCCAGGCCCTTGAGCCCAGAAGCTTCAAGCACTCCTTTCCTCTCCAAAGGTAGGTACATGACAGCAAAGGGGAGAGAAAGAACAGAAAGTTATGGGAGTGGGGTAGATGAGCAAGTTAAATGAAGTCAGTGTTTAGGACACCCCAGAGAATCTTATTTTTCTTTTAACTTCCTATCTGGGATTGCTACATTTTGCTGTAGTACTCTGTTGCTGAAAAAAAAAAAAACGAATAGAAAAATCGAAGAGGTTTTGGAAGAGAAGACACTAGCTGGGGTAGGGGAGATTCTTTCTCATTGATTTGCTTGTTTTGGACCCCTGGGTCTTGTATTTTTTACCTCTGTTTGCTTAGCTTTGCCCCTCTCTCATCAGTGCCCTTCCCCTAATCCTTGTCCCTCCATCCCTCCCCAGCCTAGCCCAGCCTGGAAAAAACTCCCATTGATTCCTACAGAGATATCTGGTCACAGTCTCAATCTCTAGGTTCAGAGTCCTACAGCACCAAGAGGACCCAAACATCTTATCTACCAGTCCCGGTCTTGTCACCCTAGCAAACATGCTTCATCAACCCCTCCTGTGCTGAGCAAAGCAGGGATGGAAAGGGGAAGGGAGTCTGGGTTTATTTTAGATCTGGGACATGCGGGAGGGGTTTCTCCTGGGTCAGACAGGCAATGGGGGTAAGAGACGATGACTCACGGATGATGGAGCCATCAGTTCTCCTAGGCTGAGACCTTGAGTCAGGACAGTGACAGAGCATGAGGGTTCACATGGCCTGCTCCTATACTTTCCAATTTCTGCCTCTTAGATGTGCACACTCAGAGCAATACTCCAACTGTAGCAGGCTCTGAACCCAGACTCCTGGGATAACTGGATTCCTATTCGCCTTCCAGAGATCCACTTGCAACTCCATAATCTTTATTAGTATCCCTCCTTCCTTTGCTCTTCCCATTCATCACTCCACCACAGTGCAGGAGTGGAGCCTCAGGGCCAAAGCCAGAAAGCACAAACCAACAAGCCCCTCTGGCCCCTTTGTCCAGGGAACTCTTCCCAATCATTTTTGCATCATACCACATTGATATGATGTCGCTCTGGCAAGAAGCGTCCAGCCTGGGGTCTGTAGCAGTCTCAGATCGCTGCAGGCTGCGAGGGTTGAGAAGATTGATATGGTCTCAACACACCTATACCCCATTTGTGTGTGTGCTACCACACACCAGTTGGGAAGTTTTATCTAGTGAAGAAACCCAGCCCAGTTTAGAGGGCTAAATGAACAATGCAGTGGGAAAAGCAACAGGCTTGGAATCCTCTGTTAGGATTGAATTTGGATTCCGCCTCTGCCCCTTTCTTTCTGTTGATCTTGGCTTAGTCACTTTACTCTCTGGGCCTCAGTTTGCTGACAGTGAAGTGAGGATCATAATATCTTCAATGCTGGATAGTTGGGAAGATTAAATGGGATAAAGAGAGGTTAAATGTCAAGCCTGGGGCCAGGAAAACAGCCCATGCTAAATAAACCATTATTAATACTCCACCACCCCTCTCCCACCCTGTTGAAACCCAGCATGGCTCCTGGCTTTGGAACTTGCACCTCTATCCTGTCCATCTCTATGGAAATTCACTCTTCTGGTTCTAAAGCTCCAGCCTTCTGGGCAGGCAGGCTGGTGACAGCAGGAGCCTGGTAAGTGTTCTGCCTTTGCCCTTCATCCCTTCTGCCTCTCTGTCAAGCAGACCATGATTAATAATAGTCTTTCATCACAGCAAATCAAATCATTCCTACTGAGCAATGAAGGGACAGAGTGTGCAGGTGAGGTCAGATCTGAAAGAGAACACAGAGACACTTGAAGACACACAGAGACAAGCTGAAAGATATACAAGACAGAGAGAAAAAACTGAGAGGACACAGAGCTTTTAGAGTGCCATGGGATGAGAGGAAAAGCAATTGGGTTTAGAGTCAAAACACTTAGGTTCTAGACTAACCACTAACTAGCTAGCTATGTGACCTTGGACAAGTCATTTAAACTCTCTACACCTATTTCCTCTTCTGAAGAAGAAGAAGATTAAGTTGATGACCTCTAGGTACCCCTCCTGGCAGCTTTCAGACCTGGAGGGCTATATTGAAGCAGCTCCAACTAGGAGGGAACCCCAAGTTCAAGCCTGACATGGAGCAGAAGAAGGGAGGGCCAGGCACAGGCAGGCATGATGAGAGAGAAGGCCGGAGGTGTTGGGGCCACTGGGAGAGGACTTATAAGGGCAGAGAGAGCCAAGAGAGGAGGGATATTGGGGAGAGTAGAAAAGCCAGCCAGAGAATGACTAAGGGGCTCCCGGTGTAAACAGGAGCAGGGAATGGACAGGGAGGGGGCCTGTTTGAGTTGGCCAAGGCTGAGTGGGGGTGGGGTAGAGTGGAGAGGAGGACTAGAGCAGGACGCTATGTCCCTTGTCCCCCACCAAGGCTCCTGCTGAGTCACACATCTCCTCCCTGTACCCCTCCCCACTCCACCCCAAGCTCCCAAATCCTGGGAAAGTCTAAAGAGCTTGTGCCTGGGCTGAAAAAGGGGAGAGCTGTGTTCACACACATGTGCTTTGCTGGGTTATACAGCAGTCAGGTCTCAGCCCCTTGGCTTGAGTAATTTTCACCTAGAGGTTACCTTTGCAGCAGTGCTGTGCTTAAGATCCTGACCCAGAGATTCTCTGGGTTCCTCACCTAAGAAAGGGTAGGACCTGCAGTATGTGAGAGTGGGATAGAGGCCAGCATCACTCCACAGTCTGACCAGCTGGCTTCTCCTTTGGGCTGCAGCTGGCTCGGGAAAGGGGCTTTAAAAAAAAAAAAAAAACAGCTGGGTGATTTGGGACAGGAAGTAAGAAACTCATGATGAAGGAAAAAGCATTGTCTGGACACTTTTATTCCGAGTCCCTGAGGCCAGAATGGTGCAGGGGATGGGGGAAGAGAGGAGGCAGGGTTTGATTTGGGGGAATATTATTCTGGAAAGAAAGAGGTCCTGGAGAAAAAAAAGGCAGGTAGGGTACTGGAAAGATAAGGAAGTTAGGAGAGAATCCAGGCCCATAGGTCCCCTTCCCCCAGACTAAGATAAAGACTAGAATCCTGAAAGGTGATCTCATTACACAGAGCCAGGGCTGGAGGAAGGGGTGGGCAGAAGCTCACTGCCTTCCCTTGCTACAGAGTCCCTTCTATATCCATAAGGGGTCTGGGGAGAATGGATGGCCCCTTCACAAGACATCACCATCGCCACCATCACCACCACCACTACCCCACCCCATGCTACGATTCTCTAGATTTGTAGGAATCACACGAGTTTCCATCAAGAAGAACCTGAGGGGCCAAAGCACCCCGCTCCCTACCACTCCCAGGCTCCTGGTCAACTGCGAAATTCTAGGAAGTGGTTCAGCATAGCTTTCCATACCCTACAACCAAGAAGGGGTGACCTGGAACAGAATTCTCCGGGTAAGTGACCCCAAACTCCTGGGTTTTCAATTCTAGCAGCTTGGGGTGGGGGGCAGAGGAATTTAAGGAGCCTGTGGAGGACCTCCATCAGATCAGAATGACTGGGAGTGCTCTGTTCCTCAATTCCAAAGTCCCAAATCCAGCTGGCAGGAACCCAGGCACCCGGTGGCCCCAGAAGACAAGGGGGAATCCCAATTGGCCAGGTGCCAGAGGTGTCTCCTGTCTTTTTCAACCCAAAAGTCTCCACCCTGAAGAAGCGAGGGAGACCCCACACACATATACAGGCTCCCTCCGCCCTTCAGAGGTGATTCCTTTCCTCATTAGGAAATCCTCCGCTCCCTTTTTCCGACTCCTTTTCCGAGCGTTTACGTTGTACATCTGGAAAGGAGTGGGGAGGAAGGTGGGGGAAGCAGAGAGAAGGAGGGGGAAGAGCCCAAACCCGCCCAGTCTGACCCAGTGCAAACTACTAGCCTCCAGCTGGGGCTGGGGAGAGGAGAGTGAAGAAGTGCAGCCCCCCCACGCCCCTTCGGGGTGGGGGGCGCGGGCTCAGCGTT